TTTTTTTTATAAACTTCAACCCTTGTTGAGATAAGTGAGGAACATGCGGTAAACTGTGGCTGTTTTAAATTGACAAGTTTCGGACATGACTTTTGGGTTTTAACTTACCTAAGTTCCTCCCTTAACAACTACGTTTTCAAATGAAATAGATTGCGTCTATCTGATATAGAGTTTTTATTGCTATCAACATGAAACTCAAAAATTAGCTATTTGAGATTATCCTTTGTATTCTTACTGTTAGCAGTTTTGAAAGGCCACCTAATTCCAGTGGCACTCATCTACTGTATGCAAATTGCATATTATTTAATTAATAATAAATTTTTTCTTCCCCCTTTTACCCACTAGTTTGGAATACCCAATGGCCATTCATCCTGACTTGTGGATACAACTCCTGTGACACATTTCTAGAGATTCTAAAAGTACAGATGTCCTCCACACTATATTTCTGTTTTATTGCAAGGCTGTGGAATACCTCAATGTTTAATGAAGCTTCCGATCTCCCTAGAACTTAATCAGCAGCATTTGACTTTAGCCTGCTCTGGATTCCCACTGTTTCCAGCCCTATTGCTGCCTGTAGTCAGTGGGACCTCTTGGCTATTATCAGCTAGTGGCACAGCTAGTCTTTGAAACAGCACCATCCCGAGCTTCATGCTCTTACTAGATGATAAAATGGTCGTCCATTTCCAGATGTACTGTATGCCTGGTTTTATCTTTTTACCTTGAAACCAGATGGACTAAAAAAAGATCTGTTTTCTTTCTTTTTTTTTTGCAGGAAATAGTTCTGGTGGTGTTTTTTGGTTCAGAATATGTGGTTCGTCTGTGGTCAGCAGGATGCCGAAGTAAATATGTTGGCATCAAAGGCAGACTTCGCTTTGCCAGAAAGCCAATTTCTATTATTGGTAAGATAGGCTTTTTTTTTTTGCACGGTTGTTATGGAGTAAATTAAAGACATTTAAGGTTGTTGTAACACAATATAGAGATGGGGTGGCGCAGTGGCTAGCATTGTTGCTTTTCAAAACTGGGGCCCTGGGTTCCATTTCTGGGGTGCTTTCTGTGTGGAGTTTGTATGTCCTCCCTGTGTTTGCATGAGTTCCCTTCTGGTTATCTCCCATTTCCTCCCACAATCCAAACATATAGAGTACTGGTAGGTTAATTGGCTTCTGGGAAAATTGGCCCTGGTGTGAGTGTGCATGTCTGTGTGTGCCCTGCGATGGACTAGGGTCCCTTCCAGGGTGTATCTTGCACATTCCCAATGCTTGCTGGGATAGGCTTTGGCTGCCCTACAACCCTGTTTTGGATAAAACAGTTTGATGGATGAAATATCGAGATGTGTATATCACAAATCTATTATGACAGTCTGAGCATGAAGTGCTACAGTAGGTGCTAGTGAAACACTACTGCCATGCTCTGTGGCTTCTTCTTCAATCTTTATGCAGTGATTCACCTACTGTATAAGTTCTCAGTCCGGAGAGGTCTGTTATTCGTGACAGCAACAGCAGGGGTTCCTGACTTCAGGTCATTTGCTAGGGCCCATGCTCAACTAACCACTTTTCAACTGTCAGTTTTGTTTCTGAGTAATGCAAGCAGATGCCAAACACTGTTTCCTGTTATCTGTATCTTCATTTTGACCTGTTAAGTGTACATTCTGCATGCAGAGAGAGAGAGGGCGAGATCCTCCAGAGATTTGCAGTATTGCATGTACAATATAAATAGAAAATCATTGTTCTGTGCAATACAGTACAGTCATTGGTGGGATTTGGAGAACATTGTTGTCAACCCTAATGATGTGTTGTGACTGGCAGGTCCTTATGTACACAGTTAATGTGGACAGACAAAACATTTTATCTTGCTTATATACAGTATAGGGATAAAATGGTAGCTAGCTTCAGGCCATGCAAAGTCTGGAGATGTATGTGCCTGAAGTTTTCCTTTTTTCAACTGTGCTTGTTTTTTTGTTTCGCAGATTTGATTGTGGTTATCGCTTCAGTTATTGTGCTGAGTGTGGGCTCCAATGGCCAGGTTTTTGCAACTTCTGCCATAAGGTATGTGCTGCGGATTAAAAGTGACTTCATTGTGTCTCATCTTTGGAGTGCGCGTGCCTTTTGTGCAGATACTGGTTTCATGAAAGCGTAGTTTTTGCGATTTCTTTTTCTAAGCTAACGCTGACTTTGCCAAAGTAGCAGGCCTAGAATTTATTTAAATTAAACAACTGCAAGAAAAATCCCAATCAATTCAATCAAGAGCAAGGAAATAGAATTTATATTCTATTAATTCTGAAGCCACTCGCATTATAGTCTAAAAATTAACGTTTATCCTGTAACATGAAAGCCTAATCTACAGACAGATGAATACCATTTGAATACTGTAACCACAAAGCTAACCTACTTACATCAATAGGTTAAGGGGTACTGTTTATTCCTGCATTCTTTGTGCAGCTGTTCGATGTGTTTTTTCTTGCCTTGAGGCCACTTTGCAAGCTAATAGCAGCCACATTATAAAGGCTGATTGCACATACTGTAATTCAATAACTGCCCTGAAGTAATATGGAAAAAATCATACCAGAGGTTCATGTACCTAGTATGTTATAATACCCTTGTATTAAGGGGGTTAAATATGGTGAATATATAAGAGCTAAATATGGTGAGAAGCCATTTTATATACTGTACTGTACATATGTGTATTTTAAAAACTAATTTAAGGTGCTTAGTAATAATACATTAAACCTAATTTCAGATAAAGTAAGACACAACAATTTTTCTGTCTGCAGCTGTATGTGAGGTCAGTAGGTAGAAATAAATTGGATAAAATGATTAATTGAAACCAATAATTTAAGACACTGTATGACTGTCTTAAAGAAGCCAGAGATCCATGCTGAACATATCCCCTTTCTTTATTCTTAGGGCTGGCCTTACGATTTCATTACAGTGCATTACATATGGCTTACATATGCCCCTTAGTTACCTGAGCCCATACTTCAGTATGACCTTGCATGTCTTTCTGAGATGAGGTGGTCAGCTGGAGAGAAGTCTCACATTTGTTTTACATCTATATTAATATAATAGTAAATAACTATGAATCTGTTCATGTATGGTGTCAGTCCTGCTCTTGATGTACAGCATCACTAATCACAGGTGACCCGTTGCTCCTCACAATAGCTCTGTTTTAGGCTGTAGTTACAATTTTGTTTGAACTGAACCTTTTTCAAATTAAAGTTATTTCAGGATACAATCAATCCACTACAGTATTTGATTTTGACAAACCATATCAAATACCGAAGTAAAAATAAACTAGAGGAAAAACCAAAACCTCTTTCATGCAATATTTTTTTCAACCTGTTGCACACCGTGGCAACCTTCTGTTGCTAATTCTTTATCTGAAAGCTGATGATTAAATATAAATTAATGTCATGAAGGAACAAGTAATAGGTTTATTCCATGCTGAAAAGAGAAGTAAGAAAACACAACATTTCGGCTGTGGAGCTGACGCAGCTACCCACCTGAACTACCTAATATCATGATTGTTTCTTTTAAACAAATGCCATGTGCCACAGTTCACGTTTGCAAGCTCAGTCACATCTCCTGGCAACTCATGTGACTTACCTTTTCTTAAGAAAGAGAGACAACTATGCTACCCACTGCCCCTAGAAATCATGAACAAGCTGTATTTAATTATTTCAGTGTGTTAATAAAAATGAGATAAGGATACGTCTTAAGTGTACCCTTCCTGGTACCTTCCTTGTTACCATGGAAGACATAACTGGATTTGGGAATGTAACATTTTCCAGATAATACTAAGTTAGACTGTCTTAATCCAATACAATAACGTATAATACCAAAAAATCCCTATTCACTTACACTGTCATTTATAGACCAGAACACATTATTTTATTATTAGTTTTGCAGACGCATAAGTAAAGGAAATATCAATATGCACCCTTCAAGTCTGCCTTTATTTCAGGTCTCCCTTTCTGCAGTCAATGTGATCCATGCTCTGTTAAAAAAAAAGTTGTATTATGGCATGGTGGAAATATAATCAGTGTAAAGGAACTCAACAAACACAATCAAATGGATTACACAGACCAGCAGAAATACCTTCATGCTCACTTCTTTAATACGTTGTTGAAAAAGTATTTTAAATTTTTTCTTCATTATATGTTAATTTCCTTTGATCTTGTTATGCCAGATTTTCTGGAACACTTGGAGCTCTAAATATGACTGTCTGAATTTTAACATGGCCTTGAGTGATTGATGATTGACTTTAGTCTAGCCAGCTGAAGAAAGAAGAAAATGACTCATAAAAAGAAACAGGCTACTAAACGTGTGCTGAGGTGTTCTTAATTCATTGTAAAAATCGAGTGTGGATAAGTCAAGGTCTTGATGAATTCATGTATCATCTTGGCATGATTGTGCAGAAAATGAGACATGCCAGGATCAAGCTCACATTCATAAAGATGTTTTCCTGTACAAGGGAATATAATGTCAGTCATGCAGAGACAGATACTGTAAGCTGTAAGTCGGATGACTCTCCATCCATTCAGGATCGGAAGTGTACTTTTTGCTTCTGACATCTTTTTCTTTTGTTAAATATGCTTAACTTTATTATCAGGTTTTTTTTAGAAAGGTGGTACTTCATAATTCCTTGGCAAGCTTGTGTTTCCATATCCTACACTTCCTAATGGCATGAATATAGAATTTTATCTGATGCTTGCCAGTGTACAGTTGGTCTGACAGACCTGGAGGTCTAATAATTTTAAGGCTGATGTCGTGTAGTTTTAGACATTTGAAATTCTTTATAAAAGCACACAAAAAAGCTCAAATGACATGAACGGCAGGTATCCTGTTTTGTTAAAGAATGAACCTGCTATACAAGGTGTAGTAAAGGTCAAGCAGATATTTTTCAATCTGTTACCCAGCTTGTTGGTTGCAATTATTTTGTTCAGTAATATCAGAGCTCTTCTCATTGTAAGAGGATCTGGCTAAACAGTAATGGGTTTGTCATTAATCATTATGCTATTTGAATATAGCTTTTAATAAAACGGTGAATGTGGAGATGTGAAAGCAACAAAAATGTGATTACAGTCTGTCAGTGGGCCAGAGTTCCAGCCTGAGGTGGCTAGATACTGTTTGGGATTTAGGAAGAGGTTTCTGGTTTGATTTCAGTTCTCTTGGGCTGTTCTCTAGTGATGGGATTCAAACAGAAGAGCTGAGTATGAAAAATGAGTAGAGGACCCCATGCCACAAGAGATGTAAAACTGTGCTTTAAATCTGCCAATAATCTGGAATGTGTCTGGGCCAAAGGTTTTTAGTTTTCCTATTTAAAACATACAGATAGACACTACATTTTAATCGTGGGACACATACTATAGTATTTAAACAGTGGCACATCAAGGACAATGTTTAAGGGGTGATGTGGTGGTAATAGATCTGTATGAAAATAAATCCTAATTTAAACATACAGTACATTCACCACTGATTTTCTTGGGGGTGCTTCGAAACCCCCAAAGTAACCTATACTAGTTCTTTACAGTGACTATTATAATCTCTAAATTATTTACAGCAGCTAACCAGAGTATTTTATATGGGCAGTTATATTAATTTCTGGAGAGATTATGCATATTGAACTTATGAATGGAATGGAAAAATATTGTGCTGTCAGGCCCTGATACATGTGTGTCACTGTGTTACAACAGTGTCACTGTTTTTTCAGGGGTATTCGCTTTCTGCAAATTCTTCGCATGCTGCATGTGGATCGTCAGGGGGGCACCTGGAGGCTTCTGGGATCTGTTGTTTTTATTCATCGGCAGGTAATACTAAGAACACTGTTTACCAAGCCCTTCCACAACCTACAGAACTAAAGATAAAGAAAAACAAGCCACATGCAAGGCAGCCAAAATCATCTTCCCATAACCAAATCTATGTACTGTATATCTCTTACTCTATATCTATATATTTATATTTCTTTTCAGATAATCTCTGTGCTTCTAAAACTTCAGCCAGTATCCAATTATGCAACATGTTCCTCTACACAATGCTGTAGCTGTAAAGCAAGTCAACAATGATAATGATCAGAAAACATTTTATGTGGCATCTCCCATATTGTTAGTTATGTTTCTGTTTAATTTTTAGCAGTGGATGGGTGCCATTTATTTGAGTTTTTGTGCTTTTCTCATTTATAACGTCATTAGTCTTAACACTTTCACAGAACAAAGACAAAATCTTTCGGACAGATTTTGTACATTACTACTGTATCTCTGAATTAACACCACAGGCCTTTCATCAGCGAAGTGCTTAGCAGCATAATTAATTCCACATAATGTTTATTAAGTCATGAATGTTGGCCTTTTCAGTACAATTTGTTTTTGTGCAGTGATATTTAATGCAGTTGGAGGTCAGGTCTTGAGTGTTTAGACTCTGCTATCCTTCTGAATGTGTCAGTCAATGCTTTTTAATGCCACACAGTGGAACACACATTATTTTCAATGCCATTTATGAGGGCTTCAGTTATAAAAACTACAAAACTACAAATGTATCAACCTTTATTTGAAGAGTTTGTGTTACATTGTGCCTTATGTGCAGTAGACATGAAGTGAAGGAAAAAATTTAGATACCATTGCAGGAGTTGCTTGCAAAAATGCCACATAATACACTACTATAGATATAGAAAGTTGATAAAAGTAGGTGCAGAGTAAGTAATTGGTTAAGAACTGGATTGCAAATTTCATAACATGAAGTACAGAAGAGCATAGCAACAGTACTTGTGGAGGTGCCTAGCTGTGGAGTGCCGTAGATAACAAATGCAAAGCAAATGGTTATATGACAGTTTTGACTGGAAGATGAGAGAAAGTACAATCATTAATTTAACTGGTAGGTGCACAATAGGAAGAGGGAAAAGTGATGAGCACTAGAATATTCAGGTGCCTGCAGAAAATGTCTGAGGGCACAGAGCCTGCGGTGAGGAAGTTGTGAGCCAGCTGTCTTCTTGCGATCCCACAGCTGGGCTTGACAACAGGAAATGGTTCAAAGGATTTTGCTGTCCTTGATTTTTCTAAAGAGAGACATGGTGGTTTGGCAGTAAGTGCTGTTTTGTGGGTCTTGGGTGCAATCGCACGACTCATAACAGTTTTCACTCAGATTTCTGTGACTCTTATGGCATTAATATAATCAGCAGTGGCAGGAAAGTCGAGTTTACAGTGTAGTGGTATCACAATACAAATTCTCTGGAAGCTAAAAGCTATACCCCTAAGGTACTGTAATACTTAATATACTGTAGGAAATGCGTTGTTTTTTTTTAGGTTTTAATTGTCCAAATCATAAAGTACTTGAATTAGAACAAGTAATTCCTGGCATTTATATTTGTACTACCTCACCATTTATGGCCGGCAGAGGAATCCTACTCCGTTGGGCCCCTGAGCAAGGCCCTTAACCCCAACTGCTCCAGGGGCGCTGTACAATGGCTGACCCTGCACTCTGACCCCAAGCTTCTCTCCCTGTCTGTGTGTCTGTATCTCCTTGGAGAAAAAAAGCTGGGGTATGCGAAAAGACAAATTCCTAATGCAAGAAATTGTATAGGGCTAATAAAGAAACATTATTATTATTTATTACAGTATGTGACATTATTAAAGTTGATTAAAATAAATCCATCCATCCATTATGCAGTGCTACCCTACACATTTGGTGACAATTATTTTGCTGTAGTGATTTGTGTCCTAGACAGGATGGTGCCATTGCAGAGCACACACGGGGACAATTCAGAGACAATAACTGAACCATAATGTCTTTTGGAGGTGAAAGTAAACTGGACCCTTAGTTCAGAATCAGGATCTAGGTGCACTGAGGCAACATTTCTGAAATCCATATCATTAGACATGAAGGAAGGAAATATCAAGAAGGAAATACACTGCCAAAGGTGAAATGCCAATGGTGATAAATTGGTTCACTTCACCTGTTTTGTTTTACCTCATTTTCTTCCCCAATTTGTTAACCCATATCGATTCTTGAGCCAGAAAGTGCAGGACATGGACTGGTTTTGTTTGAAAGAACAACTGTCAATCTGAAACTCAATTTGTTGAAAGAAAACAAGCTATTAATATTATTTTGCTGTCATTTAAAAAAAAAGATGGCAAGAGTTCTTAAAATCTGAGAAAGGAAATTGCTCTATGTTGCTGTAGCTGCTAATGTTACTGCATGAAACTGTATGGTTTACAACTTCAAAAGTGTCTTGGGGAGATCCAATTGCACACTGCTTGTAGGGTAAATTCAAATTTAAGAGTCTAGAGCTTTTTCTGCATTTTCCAGGAGGCTCTAATTGAAATTTCTTTATAGGATGCAGCAGTCAGAAAAGTCAACTTTTATTTTGATCTTCAGAACATTTGCTGAATTTATTTCAAGCCAACTTCAAATGAAACGCTAGTGTCTAATTCATTTTTAACCTCCTTCTGCTAATTTCCATAAAGATTACAAATAGTACACAAGGAGAAACACTTCTTTCCTTTTAAGAAGTCATTACTAGGCAGACTAAAAGAAAGAATAATAAATGTTAATTATATTTAAATATAATTACAGGATTATCTTAGCTTGAACTTAGTTTGAAGGTAGGGGTTCAGCTTCAGATTTACAAACTAAATTAAATTAAATTGCAATTTATAATTTATATACTGTTCAGTGGCTATCAAAATTATTCACCCTACATGGACTTTGAGTTACACTTTGAGTTACAACATGAAATCATGCTTTAAATTGGGATTTTCTGACATTGTTTGACTCAAACCTCTTATACTTTCAAAGTGAAAACAAAATTGTACAGAACCTCCTAAAATAATTACAGAATAAAAGTGTCACAGGTTTCAACACTAATGCATTTCGGTTTGTAATACTAGATATTTTTCTTTTACTTTTTAAATGCCTTCCACTTCTCTTTTTAGGAACTGATAACTACCCTCTACATAGGTTTCCTGGGACTTATTTTCTCATCCTACTTTGTGTATTTGGCGGAAAAGGATGCTGTGGATGAGGAGGGCAAAACAGGTTTTGCGAGCTATGCTGATGCCTTGTGGTGGGGAGTGGTAAGTCAGCTTTCTCTCCTGTTTTTATTTTAGAGCTGTGGTACCAAGCATTGGACCGCATCGGATGGATCACCACAGGTCCCTGTCCTGAAATTCTGGAACTCATGTAGCTTCTCCTTCGTATTAAAAAAAATTGGCTGCTGGTTCAATGCTGTTAGATTAATGTTTTTGTGAAAGAAATATATATATGTAAATTGATTTACTGTACAGTAGCATTGCTGCCTCACAGAACTGGTGTCCTGGGTTCAATTCTGGACCTGAGGTGCTGTGTGTGGAGTTTGCATGTTCACCCATTGATTGCAATCAAGATAAAATAAACTGCCCCAGGGATAAATCGGTCCTTTGCACCTTTTGTTCTATGACTTTTTCTTCCACAATTTCCTCTGGGTGTCCCAGTTTCCTCCCACAGTCCAAACAATAAATATACTGTAGGTTAATTGGCTTCTGGGAAAAAATGGCCCTGGTGTGAGTGTCCATGTTTGTTTCTGTGTCTGTGTGTGCACTGTGATGGGCTGACGTCATGTCCAGGATCTATCCAGTGTTGTGCCCATTGCTTGCCAGGATAGACTCTGACTCCTCTGAGACCCTGAATTTGAAGAAGGGGTTAGAACATGAATGGAGGAATGGTTTTATTTTGTACTACTTGAGGATCCTGAACTAGTTAACAGAAAAAATGGAGAAAACCCCCTGGTTTTGTTTATGCAGTCCTAAAAAGTGACTGAGTCTGTATTGAATGTAGAATAATAACAGCAGATCTTGGGCCAGATACTGTTGCACAAAATTGAGGAGCGCTGAGATCAACCTCACAGTAAGTAGCTCAAAACAAATGGGTTTTGGGAGTGATAACAGGAGTGTTATTGTGTATTTTGTGCCAAAAAGGAAGTTGTGTCTGAGAGCACAACAATCATAAGGGTCCTTCAAGGAGTTTCAATGATTCATGTGCCCCAGAGTGACTTTTAATGTTATTAATTTTCCTGTTTGCACAGGGAGTGCCAATGCTGAGTTTACAAAAGATTCAATCTTCCTCGTTATCGTCTCTCCCTCCCTCTCTGAGGGTTTGACACTGTCCTTTATCTCCTTTGCTCATGTCATCATAAAATATTAAATTAGTCCCATTAAAGTTGTTTCCTCTACTAATTAAATGGGATAGATTTTGAGAATGTGAAAAAAAGAAGAATACAGGCCAAGATTCTGTTTTGAACCCACCATCTATGTAGATACAGCAGTTGACATTTAATTTCTCCTTTCCAAAATGGAATTGAAGTATTTTAATACAGTAGATATGACTTGGGATGTCTATTCATGGATGGGGAGTTTTAGTGACTAATTGGGCATGCATCAGGATTTGAAACCTGATGCCCAGCACATTGCGTGCATCACTTGGAGTCTCAGCTATCGGATGTTATTAAATTCCAAAATACTAGGGGAAATTTGTCTTACGGCAGAGTCCAACACAGTCACACAAAAACCACCCTCACCAACAAACACCTCAGGACAAAGAAAATAAAAGACGATTATTTCACAGCATTCTAAAGTGAAATTGCAGATGGGATACAAAATACCCTTTTTTTCCTGGCAGGTTAATTTGGTTCCTGGAAAATTGGCCTTGGTGTGAGTGTGCGCAAGTCTTTTTGTGCCCCATGACGGACTGGAATCCCATCCAGTGTACCCTGTCTTATGCCATTGCTTGCATTGCTGTTGCTAGCTTACTACTTGGGACACAGAGGCATCATCCCTCTCAATGGGAGAAGTACAAATTACAGGTGTGGCACGGACTCCATAATGATGTTAGTCCTCCATAGAATCCGTTGCTTGTAGAGTGCATCTAGGTTGGACTAATTTACCACAACAATCTGGGGACAGTACTTTATTTTCAATGTTTTCCTCTACTACTTGCAATTTGCAGTAGTGATGTTACCAGTACATTAAGACACTAAGACACTTTCAATAAAAGATTCATGGATAGTATTAAAATAGTTTTGCCGCCTTAAAAAAGCTAAACTTCCTTAGGAAAAGAGTTTTCCTGAGGATGTTTTCAAAACATTTAACTCCAAACTCATTGCACTGTTCTGTGAAATCATTTAGAATGGGCTCATGATGCTGATCTGAGTTCATGAAATAGTTAACAAGGGCTGCATAGTCAGCAAATTTAATAAGACATCTATTTACATATTTGCTTTTGCAATCATCAATGTACAAAATGTACAGTAAATGGGACAAGACAGCCTTGTGGTCCAATCAATGCATTGGACAACATGCTGTACATCAATCTGTTGAGGTGTTTGCTGAAAAGATCTAAACCCCGTCTAATCAAGTCCCGCTTTTAATTCGGAATTCCTTGCGAGGTTTCTGTACCACTAAGAGTGGTTGAATCATGTTACAGGCAAGGAAAAACCATCAATGCGATTCTATCAGATGATTTTGCTTTATCAAGATGTTTATGAAGCAAGTATTGCATTGTCCACTCACTTTTCTCTATATGCAAGCATCAAGAATCTCCCGGCTGTCCTTTTCCAATATGTCACTTTACAACTCTCTCCAGACTTTTCAGAGATCAGTCTCTTGGACTCACTTGGACTTGGGTTTTTGGGATGACAATAGTAACAGTTCTCCCCCCACCCCAAACACACACAGAGGGGGTTACTTGTAAACATGAAGACACCTAAAAATGTAGATTGCTCCAGGTTATCCTGAAAAACGGAAGTAAATGCTTTTAAAAAATCCCTAAAGAAGACATTTCAGTCCAATTGTAAATCCTTCTTTAGGTTAAATATTTCCATATCCCTTGGTAATCAGTAATAAGTCCTTTAATTTGAGATGCAATGGTCTTATAATGCCCAAAAGAAAACAAGTTTATTTGGGGGTTTTTATTTTAAATCCCACAAAATGAAATACAAATAAGCTTGTTTTGGAATTATGCAGGCATCTGTCCGTTTCATATGAGCCTGTAAAACATGCCAGTTGCTTTGGCTTGCTGGTATGTTTACAGAAATCAATTAGCTATGTAGAGAAGGAAGTCTGACGGGAGAGAGGCTGTTTCCTTTCAGGCTCCTGTCAACTTGTTTTTGACTGTGGCTGCAGGTGCACTACACAGCTGCACCCATCGCAAGCCAACAGAATGAATCATAGTCCTCCTCTTGAAGTACACAATCAAAGCAGATGGAGGGTCATTAAGGAGGGATGTTTGATCTGGATCCTAACCATCTTTTGTGCACACCACATTACGGTCAAAAAAAAAAAAAGGAAGAAAACCGAGGTTTCTTGCATTTCACAACCATGTCTGTTCTTCCATCAGTCCACACTGTCATTATTAAAGCCCCAAGGAGATGAATTTGTGTGGTGAGGAAGAGTGCATTCAAGAGTGATGATAATAACTTGGTTCATTTACACCACACACGTACAGTAGAATGTGGCCTCAGGTGGTTAAGGTCTGGGGTACAATGCCTGGCTATTCTTTCCTTATGTTAGATGCCTTTTACTCAGCAGATTTGACGATAAGGATTAAATTGCCTTTTCTCCTGACAAAGATGGAACATCATGTACTGTAGCTGTCACCCCTAAGTTAAAAGGCAAACCTCCCAGTAGGTGGTCAATGGAAAACCAAGTTCCCATGTGCACGTTTGGCCACCTTGAACTCATTGTTTAGTTCTCTGCTTGGGGGATACAACATGTTTACATTGTGTTCTGTGTGTTTAATACTGTTAGTGGTATTATTAGAACTCAACATATTGCATACTGGTGAAATTAAAATGACACAGAAATTGCTGTTCTCCACACATTTCAGATGCATACAGTATACTGTATCTCCACATATGTTGGAAACGTACTGTAGGTCTGAAGCAGGGTAATTCCAATTAATATAATAAACCTGATTGTTTTGCAATAGTTAGCACTACTATTTATTTCACTTTAGGTACATTTCTGTGTAAATAGAGCATATGAACATTGTGCACGCTGAAGGTATAAGAATGGAAATCGGATCACCCAGAGAATAACCAACAAACCCAAAATGGCTACAGCAAGGCAACTCAATTGATCATACAAAGTGTTTTGCTGAGCTTGGTGTGTCACAAAGTAATTGTAAAAGCCAGTAGCTGGTTGCTCTTTGAAGCACTTGGGTACTTTTGATACGTTTTTTTTATTTAAAGTGAATGTCGCAGTACTCAGATCACCTGAAATCTGAGTTGTGCATGAAGTTTTTTTTGTTTATGGTCAAACATACAGTACAGTATGTATGGAAATACCCTGAAATAACATACATATTACATTGTGCTTATCGTTCTTATTAATCTCATTGTCATAAGTGGAAATTACTTGACTGGAAAGCAAAAAAAAAAGTTTTGACAGCACTGTATGTTTCATAAAAACTTCTAATGTGTGATATGCTTTTACTTTTCTTTCCAGGTCACAGTGACTACAATTGGATATGGAGACAAAGTGCCACAGACATGGATTGGAAAGACGATAGCCTCTTGTTTCAGTGTATTCGCAATCTCCTTCTTCGCGCTCCCTGCAGTAATTACACTTTTCGCCACTTGCAAATCTGCTTAATGACCTTAGGGTTGCACTGTTATAAGGACCACTGAGACATTTTGCATTTGGGGGACTAAGGTAGTTACAGGCAAGGTGATACTAGTTGGGTTTTCCCTCACAGGAAGAGACTGATCACTGTCCCAAATGTAAAGACAAATGGCGACCGAGAGATTGCTGTTCTGCCCATGCCTCTGTGAGAACAGTCTAGACTTTTTTCGCAGTCTAAATTTGCAATTAAAATGTACTGTATTGCTGGAGCTCAGAGTACAGGGTGATTATGATCTGGATTAGATCAGAAAGTAATCCTCTCCCCTCCTGCCCATCATTAATTTCATTCATTTAACAGGAAGGAGCTTTTCTGCTTCCCAGATACTTCCATATCTCAATGAACCTAGACTACACTCCTGTCTCATTACTATTAATGCTTCTGTATGCAAATCTGTTAAAGTAGGGTGACTATATGATTGCATGTTCCCAAGCAAAGTTTGTGATACAGTTATGTAGGGATGATCACAACCTTATTCAGCCCAATTCTGGATTCTGCAGCTGAACTTTTAAATCTCCCTTAAACCAAAGGAAAACCAAAAGAAACTGAAGACTGAACCTAGCACCTCTGCTGTTAAGAAATGTGGTGCTCAATAAGCTCTTCTATTGATTCATCATGGTGGTATCATTCTGCCAAATCTTGTTTGGGAGAGTTGTTGAAATTTAGGATTATCAACCAAAAAGCTTTCTAGTCACATCATCAATTGCAAAAAAAAAGGAATCGCAGGAAATTAATAATAAACATGGACATTTAGAATGAAAGGTTTCAGCATTTTTTTAACATTAGTGAGGCCAAAGTAGAATTTAGCCAGGACACTGCGGCGTACACCCTAGCTCTTGAGTGGTGCTGTGAAATGTACTGTATAATGACCAAGCAGTCCGAACTTTGGTTTAAAGTCTCATTTGAAGGAGGGTACCTCCACATGACAGCACAGTGCTCCATATCACTTTACTTACTTACTAATTAGCAATGCAAGTCCGTAGTGAAGTGTGCCACTTACTGGTCCACCAACAGTACATGCACCAATTTGTTTTTCCTTAGAGACTCCCTGACCAGTACTGATCAGCCCCAGCCTTGCTTAGCTCCCGAGATCTCATGAGATGGCATAAGTGGAGAAATGGATAACGCTGCAGTACAACCAGTTTTTATTATCAACATTCATGTCTTTTCAACAGAAAAGTTTGTGTAGTCTATGCTACGGTATGTCTTGTTTCCTCTCACTGCGCAAAGTATACATTAAGCGAAAAGCCTGGAAAGGGGTAAAATTAGTTGTCTGGCGATCCCCTCCAGAATTCAGTGTTTTTACTGATGTGGAGTTCTTCCCCAAATAACATTCTGCAAATGTTTGATTTCAGGGTATTCTGGGCTCCGGATTTGCCCTCAAAGTTCAACAGAAGCAACGCCAGAAGCATTTCAACCGACAGATTCCCGCTGCTGCTTCACTAATCCAGGTAGAGCGATAAAACATGCGAATTAGGTTTGGCAACAGCATATTGGCCTCTAGTGGCACACTGGCTGTAACTGCAAAGCCTTTTAAGTTGGCCATCTCCAAAACATGCAGCTGCTATTTCCACCTGGAATTCAACTTCATGATTTTTTATAGTCTGGGAATGTATTACAAGCTAATTTCACACCAATGCTAGAATTTTTTTTTTATGTGATGAATTGCATCCTTAGTTACGTCCTCTCATTCTCTCTAGTTTGCATAAACACTACAAGCCATGTAGTAGCCAGAAGCCAAATGCAACTGAAAATATATTTAGACCAGTATTCTTAAATGGTTTATGATGTCCGTTGCATATTATACATTTTACTTTTTATCTTCAGTTTTTATTGTACTTGTTTTGTTTTAATGTTTGATATGCATTTTACAGAAAAGGTGCTTTATATCTTCATCATTAATGGAATGGATTACATACAGGGCAAAGATGGTGGACAGTGTCACCTGTAGTCTTGATGCTCTAAAACACCTAAATGTAGTCTGTAGGACAAAAAGCACTGAATGGCTAATTCTTACTATTATCTTTTTTTATGTTCTTATGTTTTAATTATAAATAGGACAACCAGATTCAAGAGTATGTGCTTTTTAAATAAATGGTGAAGCTGCAAACTAACTACCTTGCTCTAATTACCTGATATGTAAGGGTACTGTGGTTACTACTGCTAACAAAGAATTGTAACTGCTTGAATGTAAATGAAACAAATTTCTACACTGATACAGAAATCTACATCCGTATTAAACCTGACACTGAAGTGTGGCTCTGCTGTCTAATTGCATCTTTGACATGGATGACTCAACATTTTCCTTTTATTTAAACTGCGACAAGACTGAAGTCATGCTTCTTGGCACCTCCCATCATCTACAGTAACCCTGTATCGGCAGTTGACAATGTACTTGAACTTCTAAATTGAACTAAAAAGAACAACCTGGGTGAGATAATCCAGGCCTGACATTTGACCCACGTGTAAAATATTGTAAAAGCATTCTTCCAACAGAAATATTGCCAGACTATGTCCTATGTTGTCACTTACTGTTGCTGGTCAACGCTTTCATCTTCTCTAGAAGACTCTTGACTACTGTAACGCCCTACTTGCGGGGGTTCCAACAGTACATCCACATTGAACAAACGTCAGTATGTCCAGAATTTGGCTGCTCGAATCCTGACCAGGTCTTTAATTACTCTTGTCCTGGAGTCCTTGCATTAGCTTTCTAGCAGGTTTCGTGACCTCATGATCACCTATAATGCTCTACATGGCTTGGTCCGTAATTTCCCTTCGGGATCAATGGTCTTCTCTCTCTCTCTCTCTAAGCACCTGTCTGACTTACTATCCTCCTACTCCACACCTCACAGCCTTTGTTTGACTATTCTGATCCCCTGTCTTTCCCCCAAGCCTGTCTGTATCCCAGAGGTGACAGGGCCATCTCCTGCTGCAGTACTGTATGTCCCAAAGCTCTTGAAATCTATCCCTATGGATATCAGACAGTCACCCTTCCTGAGCTCTTTCAAATTAAGATTAAAAACTTTACACTTTAGAGGTGTCTGCCCCTTTGCTTTTCTACTGTATTCCAATACAGTATTGTACAAGAATATACTCCGTAATTGTGTAATTCTGCTTTCTTCTCTCATTGTGTATTGTTGCTTTCTGTACAGATCTTTGAAATGTCCCTTTTAAAGGTGCTGTATAAAGCAGTTTTTTTATTTTTTTGAGCCGATATAAAAATGCTTTCTGACTTTTTCGTTTGTCAGCAGCGACTAAAATGAAATGTCCTTTATGCTTAAATACTACACATGCTTTAGTGAGTGCTTGCCACTTGGGAAGTATTACAAACAGAGTGAATCAGAGTTGCTGCAATCTGAATGAGAAATTTTAGAATTTAGAAATGCACTAATTATTCCAGTTCTGGGCTGTGGGGGAGCTGGAGCCTAACCCAGAAAGCAAAGTGTAATGCAGGGGACACTGTGGATGGGATGTCAGTATATTGCAGGGCACTCACAGACATGCACAGGTATGTACTCACAACTAAGGCCAATTTTCCTGGAAGCCGCTATGATATTTTGGGACTGGGGGAGGAAATTGGAGCACCTGGAGGAAACCTACGCAAACCCGGGCAGACCATACAAACTCCTCACATATACTAGCCCAGTGCACCAGCACAACACTAGGTGTGCCACCCACCCTTAAATGCTAAACCAGTGGTTCTACTTGTTTAGGAACTTTGTGGAATCCCTAGTTTTTAATTCTTACTGCGACATAAACGCACCTCGACAAAATGTGACAACGCATTTGTTACAGTATGTAATAATCGTTTTATTCCATATTAAATCAAGACCCTGATCTAAATAGGGAGCAGACATTGATCCCATGATGCATTGGAGGGTGTCTGTATGTCCCCGTAAAAAGTAGAAGATTAGAATTTGGCTGAGAATTTCTTGGCTTCAGTACTTGAGCATCATACCTGCAGTATAATATGGAGGAAATATCTCTGAAGAAATACTGCATGTTCCTCCCTTTATTTGGGATTTCAATCTATTGTATGTAAGAGCAAATATACATTGATTTAAAAAGCTGTTTTAGGTGAGCAATGATTTATATGTTGGTAATTTATTTCTCATATTTAATTTAAGCAATTCAATGTGTAAAATTAGTGCTTTTGTTTTGTATTTTTCTTATTGTTGCTTGCTGTTCATGTGTGTATGGCCAATATCTGCTGTCTTGTGAACTACAAGACACCTTTCTTCCCCTTGTAAAATAGTGGTCCTCTTTTGCTGTCACACAAATAAGTGCAGTAAGCCACACTTCTGTACAGTCTCAGAACACTTTACCTTAGTCTGATAGCAAATGCATTGATTAATAAGTTTTTCATGAGGGCAGCTGACCATGTTAAATTAATGCCAACCGAGGAGCAAGGTGCTGTAGTACATTCAGAACTAAAAATCTATATATTTCCCATTACATTCAATGCAGCTGTGACACTGTTGTTTTGAACTGGGCATTCTGTGGTGTTTCCTTAGTCATTTTAGCTCTCTTTTTTAATATTGTAATATGGACATATATATTATATTACTTATGTTTTGTTATATGATATATGATGCAGTATATTGTGCTGTTCCAGACACTCTGGCGGTGTTATGCTGCAGAGAAGCCCGGCGGCTGCCCAGCGACTTGGAAGATCTATGTGATGCCTTGTGAATATCTGCCCACTATCACCCCTGAACCCTCCAGCCCCAACCTCAGGAAACTGGTAAGTGTCCTTTTTTTGGGAGAAGCCTGTTCGTCTAAAAAACACTCCAGAAATATCCGTGAGTCCATGGTTCCAGCAAGTATGTATGCCAGCTATGGGAGGCTTCAAGTGAAAGGTTTAGGGGACAACGTCTAATTTCAGTTTAATGTAATGTTACATTTACTGTATATACTGTACAGTGCCTTGTAGCTATCTTGTATATGTAATGTAGTTAACATTCCTGGGAGTGTGTGATCACTTTTTTTATATTTTCTTATATCCTGTGTTATATATTTCAAAGAAAATATAATCTAATAATAGTATCTTATATTTAATTATATTGAAATGTATCTATTTTACATTTTTAAAGGCCGATTTTTCCCAATACTGTACTCTGGGGGGAAAAGAACTTAAAATGCATCATTGATATCCCCCTTTACTCCTCCAGTTCTTTACATTTAAAGTCTTGTCAGAAGATATTTCTCCACCGGTAAAGACCTGTAGTCTAGATATGACAGAAGTGACAGAATGCCATTTGGGGTAGTAACCTTTAGGGGAGTCAGGATATCTTAGGCATGCAACCCTGACTTTGCATGTTCTGTAGCTATAGACTGTGTATATCCTCCTGTGATAATGTATTGTTTGTGAGCTGATATGACTGATTTGCTGTGAGCTGAATCCAAACTAGGGGGACACAAAGTGATGGTATAAAAAGAGAAAAAAATGAATTTCAAATTTACAGTGAGTATTTTCAGAATTGGTTTTGCTGTGCGATTTAAGTTAACCTGGATAGTACAATTATATTCCATACTACACGCCTGATACACGTAAGTTCTTTTTTACAGATAAGACCAAAGAGTAAGACTGATTCTTCAAACAAATATACGACTGAGGTCTTAATTTCTTATTTTTCTATCCCAATTTGCATGATCGCTTTGTACAGGCAGTCTCTGTCCAGATATCTCTTGGAAACATGTTTTGAAGGATAGAGAGGGATTATGATGTGTCACTTCAACTCTGCATTTGGCAAACAAAAGTGCTGTGCTGTCAGAGGGCAGAAGTTGACAAAATGGTTTCCAAGGGCTGTTTTAGAAAGGGTCTCATTTGCATATGTGTAAATTGATCCACCATCGCCCCTCAGAGCATGGAACATGTCCAAAAATAATAGGAAATGATGCCATTTAAGTGAGAAAAGATACACTGGGGTGCAGACATAAGACTCCTAAAACTATTGCACATATGTTTTCTTATTACAGACGGTTCTGTGAACCTGTGGAAACGTAAATGTGATTTAAGAAGAAGTGCCAACAAAGAATTCAAAAATGTAACTGGCAATGCGGCAAGGGAGAGTTTTATTGAATGGATGATGTGAACTTTCTCTGTAAAAAATCTACTCGCCAATTTGAAATAACGAGCCGAAGAGTTCAAACATCTGCCTCCATTTCTTCCTCGGCCTGTGACTGAGCCGTTTTATAGCGCTACGGGTCTGGGATTAATCTTCAACAACGGGTCAGCTTAGTAGGACCAGTTGTGGAGCAGTGAGATACTGTAAATGAGGAGCATAGGAGCCAAACTGAATGCGTCCCCTAACCAGATTGGCAACGTGCTGCGATTTGAGATTGAGACAAGTAATCTACCATTTACCATGTCCAAACTAACATATCAGCCTACCTAAGTTGTTCTTTGATTTGGGAAGTCTCAGAGCTTCCTGGTGGATGATGCTCAGAGGTTAGCCCAGTACATTAAAAATACTACCAACCCACTGTGTTTGTTCTTTTATGGTGAAGCAAGCTGTTTTATCACTATCGGTTGAACCAGACAAATATTTGATATTTTTTTTCCCTGCAATGTGGGAGATGAGGTTTCTTAGAGGGATTCTGGGCTCTGCTGACGTGAGGGATCTGGCTGTGAAAAGACTAAGTGTTTTCTTCTCCATCGGCACTGCTCCCGTCTTTGTCTGACCCACACAAAGGCACAGTCAGATGAGATGATGTAATGCCCCCTTTTCTCATGGGAGTAAATCCTTGTGAAGTAAGAAAAAATAAAAAATCTTTGTTTTGCATTGTATCCATATATCGAGGGACTGAAAAGAGCTTCTCTTCTTTTTCCCCCTTTCTCCTTTCTTCCTGTTTTTTTAATCAATCACAGACAAATAGCTTTGGCCACTACTGTAGTTCAGTGTTGCCTTGACTTTGTTTCACTGAGGTGAATAAGTAACAGGATGGCCACTGTTTTAGCTAGTGAAGACAATTTGTCAGTGACATATTTATATGTAGATTCTTGTGCAGCAAGTATGAAAGCTTCAAAGCCATTTGTTAGTCCACACAACCTAAAAAGGGAATATCGACGTCCGCAGCAATTTGAACCAAAAATATCTGAGGATCAGAACACGGTGTTATCAAGTATTTTGTCCAAAAAGTATTTTCAGCAGCTGTATTTGTAGAACAGCTGTAATATGAGTAAATCCTTTTTGTTATAGAGGGCACATATTCTCCATACAAATATGCATAAACATTTTAACATTATTGGTCCCTATTTTGTATGGTGGTCAAAGTCCACACCAATGTATGTTAACTGAAAGGCCAGTTTGAACACTGTCTGCCCTGATTGTTCCTTTTTGTCAGTGATTCTATTACCATTAACAGACAGATTTTAAACTGTCAAGCTAATTAGCTCTTAAACATTTTGAATGCAGGTCCAAATGGAGGAGCATAAAACTGCTGGTGGGTTTAAATGCTGCAGGTATCTTTACTGTACCTGAATTTTTACATTCATTGAAAATTAACAACTCATTGAGATGCAGCATAACTAAAAGAACATGCAGCCAGTATTGTAAGAAATAATATGCTGAATACTTTATTGATGTATAATCAGAATCAAAAGAAGGGTGTTTCTAACTCCTCAGATCACCATCTAGATGGGGCGGCTCAAAATTTGATGAAGTTCTATAACTCAGGACTTATCTTTCCATCTCACCATGACTTGCCCTGAGGAATATCTCTGGTCCTCTCAGACAGCACGATGATGCCAAACCTTTAGATGTTAATAACTTGTTGATTCTTAGTTTAATTATTGTACATATCAAATACTGTAAATAAGCCAAAAGAGAGACAAGAAAAAAAATCCAGACCTTTCTTCAATTGAAGCTATTTTATTTCTCTGAACATTTGAAACATTGAAACATTAATTATGAGACATTGCATGTCTCATAATTAAAATGAAATCCATTTATGCTATAGTAAATATATACTGTATGTGTTTGTTTTTGTAGTATATTATTTTACAGATGTTTCATTTTGTGTGCACAGCACATACAGTATACACATACTGTAGGCACCAGTTTCCTGTTCAATTAGAACATGTGCAGTACAGCTAGAAAATAGTGATCATGACAAGCAACAATACATTGACCTGGGTCATTCAGAACTGTACACGTGTGTAAATTAATAATTACTTACACTTATATAGCGCTTTTCTGGACACCACCAATGTGCATTATCCACTTAGAAATTATATTCCAAGTTTTACAAGAGATTTTAGCATACTGTGATTGATTATAAGGAGGAGGGTTGATGCAGAGGAGAGACTTTGGAATCCAGATAGATTAGGGGCAGTCTTGTAGAGAACCAATAAATTAGAATCTTTAGTACATCCAACATTTTTTAAATGTATTACAATACAACTGACTTGCTCCCATGAGAAAATCCACCATTTTAAATGGGATATTGTAATCCTTTGTAAAAACCCATTAAGAGATATTATCTCTAAATGTAAGTCTGCAAAAGAACATTGTAGGGGAAAATACAGTATACAGTACTTAGAAATTAGAGCACAGTCAGGTCCATCTTTGGGAAGTGGAAAGAATATGGGCCATCCAAACTTCCTAAAGTAGGGGTCCTGACAAACCGGGCAGTTAAGAAGGACTTTGGTCAGAGAAATAACCAGGGACTCAATGACCACCCTAATAGAATTAGAGAGATCCATGGCAGAGACTGGTGGATCTGTCCAAGGTTAACATATTCTGTAGCACTCCACAGATTTAGCATCTATGGCACAGTGACTAGATGAAAGCTAGGAGTTTATAATACGCCTGGAGTTTGCAAGAAGGCCCAAGGCAGACCCCATGTGGCCAAAGATTCTCTGGTCCAATTAATCAAAAAGTGAACTCTTTGGTCTGAATGCCTGGCACAAACAGAAGACAGCTCAACACCTGTGTAACCCCATCCATACCATGAAGCATGCTGCTGGCAGCAGCATTCTTTGCAGAGGTGTTAGTGGGACCAGCAGGGAGAGCTCAACCTGCGGTCTGTGTGGGTCCTAACACCCCAATATAGTGATGGAAACACTGCACTGTAAAAAAAAGATGCTGTCCTTTGGTGAAACATAAAACAGAGGTTCTGAGTCTTTGTGGTCATTAAAAATCCCAGGGCATTCCTGGCTATATTTTCCATTGGCCTTTACCAGTCATGGCCTCCTAACAATCCCTATCTCTGAATTGGCTTCATCACTCTGTTCTCCTCCCCACTGATAGCTTATGTGTGGGGAGCATACTGGTGCTCTTTGGCTGCTGTAACATTATCCAGGTGGAGGGGAGTCCCCATTACCTGTAAAGTACTTTGAATGCAGTATCCAGAAAAGCACTATATAAAAAGAAGAATTAATAACTTGGCAGAGCAAGGAAGAATAGGCAAAAAACAAACTAAAATAGTTTTGCCCCTGTAAATAAATCTTTGAAATGTGTTAAGCATTCTGATCATAACAATACTGGCAGTTGTTCAGGAGGCTGAATACTTTCTAAAGGCTCTGACCTGGCAAGGTTTTCTACGTGCAACTAATTGACAAAGAAATGTATGAAGATGAGCAGCAAGCTATGCAGAAATACTGCGTGTTGACATCCTTTTAACTGCCAAACAGCATCATAGCCATATCACCCTGCAACTCACAACTGGCAATCCACTGATGCTAAGCAGGTGTGAGCCTGGTCAGTACCTGGATAGGAGACCTCCTGGGAAAAACTAAGGTTGCTGCTGGAAGAGGTGTTAGTGGGGCCAGCAGGGGGTGCTCACCCTGTGGTCCACGTGGGTCCAAATGCCCCAGTATAGTGATGGGGACACTATACTGTAAACAGATGCCGTCCTTCAGATGAGACATAAAACCGAGGTCCTGACTCTCTGTGGTCATTAAAAATCCCAGGGCGTTTCTCAAAAAGAGTAGGGGTGTAACCCTGGCGTCCTGGCAATATTTCCCATTGGCCCTTACCAATCATGGGCTCCTAATAATCCCCATCTATGAATTGGCTTCTTTGCTCTCATCCCCACTGATAACTGATGTGTGGTGAGCGTTCTGGCGCACTATGGCTGCCGTCACATCATCCAGGTGGATGCTGCACACTGGTGGTGGTGGAGGGGAGTCCCCATTACCTGTAAAGCGCTTTGAGTGGAGTGTCCAGAAAAGCGCTATATAAGTGTAAGCAATTATTATTATTATTATTATTATTATTATTATTATTATTATTATTATTATTATAGCCCACAGGTAGTCACAACATTGGGCAAAAAAGAAAATAGTAAAGAAAAGCTGCCCAGGTTATGCTTGTGCCCAATAACATCCAAGTGTTCTTTGTGATAACTGGTCTTGCAATGTTTTAAAAATGGAATGAAGTGACCAAAAGATACTGAATGTGATACAAAAAATTAAAAAAGTTATAATTAGAAAAAGTACAAATCTGGAACTGTAGTGTTTTGCATCCTACATTACCTATAGACACATAGCATCTGATAGCTGCATTCATGTAGTGTAACAATGAATTCTCTATCACACTCCCCCTTCTGCTCTTTAGTGTTCTATCAGATAACTCAGCATGCTTTAATGTCCTCAGTTATTAGGTAGTCTTACCAGCATAGAAATCTTAAGGGTGACAGTCCAAATGCATAAATTATCATTAAGGGAAAGGAAAAACAGTTGAAAATTATTTTAATAATTCTTTAATTTAGTAGATTGGGTGGCACAATGGTTAGCATTGCTACATTCCAAGACTGGGGCCCTGGGTTCAATTATTGGGGTGCTGTCTGCATGGAGTTTGCATGTTCTTGCTATGCTCATCTCGGTTTCCTCTGGCATGGTTGTGTTCCCACAGTCCAAAGGCATAGGTAGGTAGGTTCAGTGGCTTCTGGGAAACTTGACCCTGTTGTGAGGCTGTGTTTTTGTGCATTGTGATGAACTGATCAAATGTAATACAGTACATCTATTCACGGTGTATCCTGCCTTGTGTCCAGTGTTTCATGGGATAGGCTCTGGACCGCCATGACCCTGAAATGGATAAGTGGTTATTGAAACTGATGTGGTGTGGAACAGATAAGGCCAGAAGGCTTATATCATTGACGAATAGACAGAAATAGCACAAAAGTCAATAAAATAGAATAACATAACAGGATCCGCTATGTTAAAGTGCAAGTATCAGGTGCAAGAGATTTAAACATACAATTGAAAATCCCTGCAGATACAAAGATGGGTAGTTTCAGCTTACTCTGCTCCAGTCATTGGCAGAAGCTGAGTACTGTAGCTGTTTGTGGAGGTAAAGTTTGGGGTGCACGAATCGTATAAGATATGTTCAAAATAGCCATTGTGAATTACTACAGTATGAGATAGATGGTAATGAAATTATACTTAGTGTGTACCTAGAGGAATTTATAAGACCTGACTTGTTGCTCTTAAGGGAAACAAGTATAACCACATATTGACTTTAACTTGTACAGTAATTAATGATTATTGAAAGTTAAAGGACAATCTTGCCAGATGCAGAGACATTTACAAACTGCAACTTTCTTCAACGTTGCTTACTTAAAGTAACAGTACTTGTACCTGAAGCAATATGTTTGATATGCTAAAGCTAGATGATTTATTAGTTTTTTGCTGATTTCTGAAAGAAATAGTCAAATATTGTTTTTTAGAAAGATTCGATTTCCCACTTTTCTTCTTGCTGTGTTTGTGTAATCAATAGTTTACAATAGTTTAATCAATAGTTTAGTGAGTGAAGAAAATGTCAGTTTGTAAATTGACCAGGTTAGGTAAAGCATTTGCCCACAATTATTTTACAGTTGTTGCAAAATCTTGCCTTGAGTGTTTTCACTTTTGAATATGAAACTCTATCTCATATGATGCTTTTTAAGTCCATTCTGATTGATAATAATAATTGCTTACACTTATATAGCGGGCACTCCACTCAAAGTGCTTTACAGGTAATGGGGACTCCCCTCCACCACCACCTGGATGTGCAGCCCCACCTGGATGATGCAACGGCAGCCATAGTGCGCTCATCACACATCAGCTATCAGTGGGGAGGAGAGCAGAGTAATGAAGCCAGTTTAGAGATGGGGATTATTAGGAGGTCATGATTAGTAAGGGCTAATTGGAAATTTGGCCAGGACGCTGGGGTTGCAGCCCTACTCTTTTTGAGAAACTGCCTGGGATTTTTAATGACCACAGAGAGTCAGGACCTCGGTTTTACGTCTCATCCGAAGGATGGATTGATTGGTGCAGTAGATTCTATTGAGCCTTAATCTTTTTTATCTTTTTTTTACCCTTAACTTAGATTCTTCCCAAAGTCTAAACATTCCCAGATTAAATAAATGGCTACAATACAACATAGTGAAACCATATTTAATTTTGCTGTACTGTAACTCTTGTGCCTTGGTTTGTGGACCTGGGGTGCTGTCTGGGTGGAGTTTGTATGTTCTCCCTGTGTTCATGTGGTTTTCCTCCAGGTGTTCCGGTTTCCTTCCACAATCCAAAAACATACTGGTAGGTTAATTGGTTTCTGAGAAAATTGGCCCTGGTGTACATCCGTATCTGCCTGTCCTGCGATGGACTGGCATCCTGTCCAGGTTGTACCCTGCCTTGCTCCCCTTGTTTGCTGGGATAGGCTCTGGCTCCCCTATGTCCATGAATTGGAGGAAGCAGCAAAAAAGGCCAATCGTAACTGTGCTCTACTGTTTTCTCATTTTACAGAGCAAACGGTACAAACGAAAACTGAAGACCTCACGTGACAATGGATCAACTAGTCTGATGAACCCTGGGGAAAATGCCTTATCTATTCCCCAGATCACCTATGATCACATTGAGGAGAAGGATGGCAAGAGGGAGATTGCATTCTATCTTGATGAGCCAGCAGGTAACGCATGAAGCATTATTTTTTACCAGAGGCTATAGCCATCCACATAAAATGTAAAAAAAAAACAAAACAAAATTGAATAATATACTAGTACACAGCTTCAATATAACTATAGGTACCATGACTTTCTTTTTTAATGTTTTCCTTTTCTTTTATTCCTAAACAGTGTTGGTGATGATGTTGGTTATAATTAGAAAACACGTACTGTTACTATGATCCCAATAACTACAATTAAAAAAACCAAAGCAGTTAATCACTCACCTTTCAAGACGAGAATATTTGGACAACTAAAATGAAAGGATTCTGTCGGGCGTTTTTCACGTTTTTGGTTTTACATTGCAATACTCTCCTAAGCCTCCAGAGGACAGTATAGGCACTTCCATTTTCAATTAGCTCCTAAATGATTGTGTTCCAGTTTTATCTTTCATATTTTTATTATCCCACTCTTTAGTATTATATACACATGTTTCAAGGTGAATACACCTTCAGATTTATATTTCCAATCCCTTTTTTTATTAAGCCAGCAAACAATGCTGTTCTGGCTTGAATGAAGTAGGGAAATTGCACATCTTTGTTCTCTACATAGTCGTGTCAGATGCCTTTCCCAGTAGTTTTAAAAGAGACTGTATTGGCTAAAAAACTGTTACAGCTAGTTCTTCCTTTTACCTCCAACCTTTAACTGATTTTTTGAGTGTTACATGGACCTGAAAGTTATTTAAAAAAATATGTAATCATTCTTCAGACCAAAAATATTGCTGAAAAAATAGTAAGCAAATGCTTTGTTAATAGTTTTCATGACATTAAAGAAGACCTTACCAATTTCTGCAACCCTGCCTTTCATACAAAATGAAACAATATTTTTGTCTGTTGGGTCTTATATTTCTACAGGTAATAAAGGTTTTCAGCCTGCAGCTCAAAGCTACAGAAACCTTTCCTTTAGACTCGACACCAGGCACTTGATATCTAGTGTGCTTGGTATTTGCTTGATAGTTACTTTAAACAGGAAAAAGGTGGATGTGATATGAAAAGAAAATAACAGTGGGAATTTCTAGGGAAGAATCCCATTTTTGACACTCTGGAAGGTGTGATGAAATTTAACATCTGTCTGTTAGTCTTTATGTAAGATAGCTTTAACTTTTTCTCCAGTCATTCTTAATGCGGGATTGTTAATTTTATTTTTACATCATGTTCATAATTCCATAAAGCACTTCTTGCGTTAAGAGGTTGTCAAATGCTATTATTGCATTTTTATTTCCTTTATTTTTTTTGTCTAGGGATTAATGCTAGAAATAAAAAAAAGTGTTAATAACATTAATGTGATAATATTGTCCATTAAAAGTCCAGTTATTCTGTTGGAGGTCAAGGTCCGTAGCCCATATACAAAGTTATTTTATTTATACATTATTGCTTAGAATGTGGTTTAATGCAATACTTTGGTTGCTGGCAGAATGAATTATGGGTTAAAAAAGCAGGTCTTACTGTAAATCACAAGACAAGCCCCTGTCACATAATGACCATCAGAAGTAGACAATAGCAGAAATGACAAAGATGACAAAATCATCCATCCTGAGACTCTGGAATGTGTAGGAAAAAGTACATGTAACTTTATTAAATCAACATTTCTACAGTGTGCAGTCTTACACAAAAAAAGATTAATTGGGTCTCTTAGTTGTAAATCAGAATGAAAGGAGATTAAACTAGTTATCTCTACTTTCAACCTTCGTTCACTTTCTCTTTCATGTGGACACGTTCCTGTAAAATTAAGTCCCACTTTTGATTTTGTTTTTTAGTTTTAGCTCAAGGAAAGAAAAAAAAAACGTTTTCTGCTTTGCAGTCAGCACATTTTTCTTTAATCTTTCGGTTCAACTTGTTTCTTAGAATTAGTAAGAAAAGTAAAAACAGTACAAAATTATTTCTCCGTCTTTCAGGACGGATAGCACAAGACTTTGTATTTAATTGTCTTGTACAAAATGTCCCTGCCAAGTTCTCTTCAGCTGCAAAGGGATATTGAGAGCTGTGTCTTGGACAGTAATAAAAGTGACATGCTAGAAATGAGGTGTGGTTCCGTTCTTATTTGTAAAGACTAATTTTCTCTTTTTGGGGTATGTGGGATTAGTTAAAGGAAACGGCTGTCACGTTATTATAATTGTGATGGTGAGATATTGAAGTACTTGGAAATATCTAAGATAATTTCATTTTTTGGGGGGGTGGTAAGGTGTGTGTGTGGGGAGTGGGGGAGACAGGAAAAACAATTTTAGTATCAGGAAACCCAGTGCAAATACTGTATGAGTCAAACAATGCTGACTGGAGAAATAATTCTGAAATACATATACATAAACACTGAATGTGATGATGATGCATTTCAATTTCATTGCAAATTGGTTAGCTGTACTGCTACAGTATGCACTACACTAAAACTGGACCTAAAATATCAGTATATTATAAAATAAAGAATAAAATATCCTACTTTGGGGAAAGTGAGAATGGAGGGGGAATCAGAAAAGAAAATGAAACGAGCAGAAAATGTCTGGCAGTGAGAAAACACAACACTGGCATGTGTTCCCAAGGATGGGGCTGGAAATGAGAATTTGAGGACATCGATCTTGGCTCACACCCAAGAACATTAGAGGATTCTTGTAAATGTTATTACGATCTCTGCTTTATGTGGCCATCGTTCATCTTGGAGACAGGCCCCATTGTCAGGGACACAGTGGAAATACGAGCGAGCATTGCAGACACAAGGCAAGGCAGCTCCCTCTTGATGGATAGTATCCTACAATTCAGCGAACAATCGGGCATCTGACATTAATCTCTTTTTCTCATGTGCATATCCTTTTTTTTTGCCAGGCAGTGTTCAGCGCTCAATTTATAATTTGAATGCCTGGATGTTTTAATGGTCGGCTTTTATTTTTCTACACTTCTGCTTTATATTCGTGCTTTGTGACAAAGGCGTTTGTCCGTGACTCATATGCCCACATGCTTTTGTTCTCTCTCGGTGAAATCAGTGGCGTTCGCCGTCTTTTTATACTGTGGGGTTCTGTCGGAGCTTGTTTTTTTTTTAGTTTGCACATGGCAATGCGCTGACAAAGTGAGTTTTAGAAACAAAACGGTTTCAAATACTGTTAGTCCCACCTAGAGGCTGCAGCAGTGTCTGTGAGGCTTATCATTGAGAAGTAAATTGTAATACACTTGATGAAATGGTCAGCACTTCTACTTTGGTACATATTGGAAGCCTTGGAAACACTTTAACTTCAAGTTCCATTTAAAATTATTTTTTGACCTGTAATGGATAAACAAATCAGTGTTTATGACCTATAATACCTATGCTGGATATGTCACGAGGAAAATTATCTTGGTTTGCATTGGTGAGATTAGACCATTGCCTGTCTGTTGCTTAAATATTGATACATGGTAAGATTAGACAACTGTAACACAACTTGAAGGCAGATCTCAGTATGTCCAGAAAACGAATTAATAGTTTCCTGCATCAGCACATGTGTTACATAGCCTCTAACAGCTTGGCAACGCAATATAGAATTGAGAAATATTGCATGGTAAAATTGAGCAAATTACCTGATTAAAGAAGTGAGTTATTTTGATGGTTAATGTCAAGTTTCGAATAGACATTCCTGAACACACCATTTACTCTACAAATCAACTCTAGCATCAATACGTGTGTGGACTGAGGTATGTGGTGGTGAAGGCTCTGGTAAACATTAGTTAAAAGTGAAAAGGGCATCTTATCACTTATTGAGCTTTTTTTACAGCAAAGTGAATACAAAGCCATGCAAAGAACAATAACCTACAGTATCTCTAATCTTATAAAAAAGAGAAATGACCAAATATAGGATGAATGTTAGAACCTTAATATCAATAATGATACATCTGACATCCCATTAACTATTGCTCTGTGCACACGTTCAGCAAGATAAATGTTTTTTTAGTCTTGCGGGCAAACTACTAAGCTAGAAAGTGGCCTTAATTTAATGCATTGAACAGGCTTTCATGACGTTAGTAATTCACAAAACGGATACTGTAATGTTAGGAAGAATCATACTTAAAAAAATATAACTTGGTACAATGTTTAATTATTTTGAATGAAACAAAACCAGGGACAATCAGAAATGTTCATCTTGCATGCCCCCTCTGCTCCTCTATGCCCCCAGGGGATTCATTCAGCTTGAGATGATGTTGGTTGTTTATGAGTGTTTTAATCTTTATAAAAACAGGACCTGCAAGAGCTCTGCATGTGTAAGATTGATGCCACATGGATTTAATCAGGCAGATGGAAGTCATTACTCACCACTAGTGATTGCAGGTCATGTATACAACTCATTACTGTTGAACTTGTCAGAGTCACAAGCCCTTGCGATTGACACCATGATAAATAGTTGCTGGAAAAACTTACTCAAGCTGCTTGCCCTTTTTTCCTCACAACAGAGTGCTTTTATCTCCCTAGCGTAATCTCCCTGCTTGTTCTCCTCCAAGTGCCAGAGATAGTGGTCAGACTTTTTACTAACTGTAAAAAAACAGTTGGGTGTCCAGCTCATTGCGTTTTCATAAACCATTCTGAACGTTTCAAACATTTCACTTGAAAGTTGGTCGGGATCTTGTTTAGACATGATTGGGTATTCTTAATTATTAGTGAATTACCAGACACCTAGACACTCGATATTTTAGGTAATTGTACAGTTAAAGTTGAAATGTCAAGCAAGAAAGTTTTGTGGATTTAATCTACAAAAAATATATTTATCCATATAGATTGATGATGAAGCTACATATGTATTCATAAATATGTGATGCTATTCATGCACTGAAATGTAAAAAGAGAGAAAGGCATATATTCCTATACAGTATGTCAATATAGAACTATACTGTATATTTACTTCCCATTTTAAGCAGAAGTGTGGTTCTTTCTGCAAAAGTGTTGTCTTTTTCTGGCTTCTTCAGAACTAATTTCAACTAATTTGACGTTGGTGTAACTGATGGCTACCCTGGCT